AACTGTGGCTTCGCCGTCACCCACTTGAGTGTGGGTTGCAGCGGCTCTCCCCTTCCTCTCCCTCCTTCTCGTCTTTAAATTAGGCTGGGATTGAAGCTAGAGCCTCTCACGGGCCAAGCAAGCACTCGGTCATTGCCCAGCACTTTCTTCTTAATTGGGTAGCTTCCTCTGACCATGCTGGCAGCTCTGAGGGAGTCACGCTCTGAGGGAGTCACGACTCCTCTGCATTTGGTTCATCTGTCGAGTGACTGTAGGGCAGACTCTTGCTGCCGTCAGACAGTTACCGTTTGGACTTTGATCAGAAAGGACTAGACTGAATTGTCTTGACCCACAGGCAGGCTTTTAAAGAACACTGCTCATGTCTCCACATTGTTCAAAGGGGAATCCCAAAGTGCTAGGAACACTGGCTGAACTCCAGGATAACAACAGGCAGGCTGTTTTATGCAATCATGTTGAACCAGGCCCATCTCCTAACCATTCCCTTTGAAATGCAGTGATGGCCAAATGCATTTGACATCCTACCCAATAACAGGCAGGAGCAGACACTGCCTCTCCAGCATGGGGCAGGAGGACGAGGGGAAGTCAGGTGACGAGAGCAGTGATGGGGTGAGCACTTCGTATTTACTTCCTCTGCCCCCCCACAGTAGTACAAGGGCACGTCTTCCTGTGGAGGAAACTGAGGCTCGTCAAGTTAGAGGACACATCCAGACAGTGGCACAGCCACCGTTGAAACTCATTTCTGTGTCATTCCCAAGTCTCTGACGAAAACCATTTGACTATACCAATACTCAGTGTGCTTGCATTCCTTTGTTGTGGTTGTTGTTGTTGTTTGAGACAGGGTTTCTCTGTGTAACAGCCCTGGCTGTCCTGGAACTCACTTTATAGACCAGGCTGGCCTCGAACTCACAGAGATCCACCTGGAATCAAAGGTGTGCATACCACCATGCCCAGAAACATGCATTCTTTTTAAACATTTTTTTCATGTTTTTTTCTTCTTTACATTTTTTTGGTGGGGGATTGCATGCTACAGCATGCATATGGAGGTCCAAGGACAACTTGTGGGAGTTGATTCTTTCCTTATACCGTGAGTCCCAGGAATCACACTCAGGACATCAGGCTTGGTGGAGAGCAGCAGTGAGCATTACCCACTGAGCCATCTCTCAGCCTGGTTTGTATTCTTTTTTTTTTTTTTTTTTTTTTGGTTTTTCGAGACAGGGTTTCTCTGTGTAGTTTTGGTGCCTGTCCTGGATCTCGCTCTGTAGCCCAGGCTGGCCTCGAACTCACAGAGATCCGCCTGGCTCTGCCTCCCGAGTGCTGGGATTAAAGGCGTGCGCCACCACCGCCCGGCCTGGTTTGTATTCTTAATGGCTCCCAAAACACATAGCCCACTTCAGTTATTTTTAAGATTCACATATAGAGAAGAAAATATTTCAAAAATCCAATTTAAACATTGCTTTGAATGTTCTTTATTTGCCCCCCTCCTTTTTTTTATTATTATTTATCCATGGCTGCCAGGAACTGGTAAAATTGGACACTGTAACTTAGCTCCTGCTATGCTCATATTTCCTGGTGTTTTCTGTTTTATTGCTTCGGGTAATGGTTTTGGCTTTTGTGATACAGGTAGTCCAGACCATCGTTGAATTCCTGACCCTCCAGCATGCACATCCCAAGTACTCCAATTGTAAATGTGCTCTATCACATCCAGCTTCTTTTTAATCTTAATTTGCTGATAAGAATTGAGCAGAGGATGGTGGTGGCGCACGCCTTTAATCCTAGGACTCGGGAGGCAGAGGCAGGTCCATCTCTGTGATTATGAAGCCAGCCTGGTGTACAGAGCAAGTTCTAGGACAGCCTGGGCTACACAGGGAAACCCTGTCTCAGAAAACCAAAAAAAAAACCCAAAACAAACAAAAAGAGATTGAGTGACACAGACAGTAGAAGGAACATTCATTCTTTAGAGTGCCCAGTTCAGTGAGCCAGGCGCGGGTGCACAGTTCAGTGAGCCAGGCGCAAGTGCACAGTTCAGTGAGCCAGGCGCGAGTGCACAACTGGAACCCCAGCCTGGGGAGGCACAGACGGTGGCCGGCCTGGGAACTCGAGATCAGCCCGGGATACCTGAGATTCCGATTCAGACAGTGAGAAAACAAACTCCAGGAGAGACGGTGTGGGTGGAAGTTGTATGTACCCCAATGAAGGGCAGGGAGGAGAGCCTGTCCTGAAGCATGTGAATCCTGGATGGAGGGTCAACCTTCAGCACACCCCACAGAATGCTCTCAGGCAGCAGCAGAAACATCCTCCTCCAATCACACCTGGTGTGTGTCCTCACTGTAAGGTGGGACTAGGACCGAGCCCTCAGAGGATGTTGTTTTGATGGCCTTGGGAACCTGGCTCAGCTCACACTCGCTGCTTCGGCAAGCTGCTGCCGCCTCCATTGCTCTGTTTGCCCTTTAGTGTTGTTAAGAAGGGAAAACAGACAGGCGGGGGGGGGGGGGGGGGGGGGGGGGGGGGGGGGGGGGGGGGGGGGACCAGGAGGCCTGCCTGGCGTGAGGCGTGGGAGAGGCACAGTAAGGGACTCCTTACCACCCAGCAGTAATTCCACTCTTCTGTTCCAGCTTCGTGTTTCCCGAGACTCCAGAGTTCGGCATTCTTACCAGAGTTATTTTACAAGCCATGTCTTTATCTTTAGTGAGCTCCTTTCTGCTTGTATCTCTGGGCAAGAAGATTGCCAACTTCCATAACTACAGAATCAATTCCAACCAGGTGAGGGAGCCCATGTGCCCTTGTTCTGTGATTTGAGCCCCCCCCCCCCCAACATGAAGGTTACATTCCTCTTTACCAGAGTTACCTGCACCATAATTTGAACTGCAACCACATGAGGTATCTGAGAAGTGGAGAATGTGTAACTTTGAACTCATACAAGCATTATTCCTCTAGAATGGATATATATGGTGCAGAGAGGCAAAGAATTAACCAGGTGGGGTGGCACATCTTTGTTACCCAACACTCAAGAGGCAGAGGCAGGATAGGAGTTAAAGGCCAGCCTTAGCTTCATAGCAAGTGAAGCTAGCCTGGGCTACATGAGATCCTGTCCCAAAACAGGGTAGCAAGTGATAACACATGGCATGGTACTGCTGAGCTAGCAGAGTTCCCATCTTCCTTCCCTGTGGCCGCAGAAGCCAGATGCATGCTGGGGCACCAGTGCCACAAGATAGCAATACAGAACCAGGCTGCTCGTATCTGTCATTACGACAATGCCCTGCCTTTGGCCTTTGCTTTTATTTTTTAGGAAAAATCTCCAACTACTCTGAAAGTGGTACTTTCCCGAAAAGTCAAGAGGGACACAGAGGCAAGCGGTGTCCCAGCCAGACACTTAGGTTAGTGTAGAGGGGGGAGAGGCCAGCACTGAGCTCTCTGTGTGTGTCCAAGTCCCAGGGGTCATGAAAAAGAGGAAAAAGCAGGAGTCAGCTTTATTACTTTCAGAAAGTACTTCCCTTATGATCAGAGGCTAGGCCAGAGACACAATGTGATCTAGATCGGATCGGCCCTTCCTGTATGCTTCCTGAGGCTACGGCCAAGTGTTGTTGGAAGGGCATGAGAACCCTAACTTCAGCCTCTCAAGGCAGTGTACCTCTAGCTCAAAATCAGATTCCTCAGCAAAGAGTGGGCTCAAAGGCCCTGCTGTCTCTTCACAGGATTTAATCGCCATCGGCCTCTGCAACGTGGTCAGCTCCTTTTTCAGGTCTTGTGTGTTCACGGGTGCCATGGCGAGGACTATTATCCAGGACAAATCTGGAGGAAGACAACAGGTGTGTTGAAAAGGGATCCCATCCCTGGTGTGTCCCCATTAGGAAAGAGATGCACGTCTGTCTGCACGTCTGTCTGTGTGGCTGTTTGTAGAAGGGCTTCACCTGGGTTGATTTCGCTGTAATGTTCTAGTCAGTGGAGAGACTCTGGGAAGAGTTTGGATCCCATGCTCACCTTAATTTTTGCTCAGATTTTGTCTTAAAAGTTATTGGGAGGGGCACATAGTAGCACATGCCTGTAATTCCAGCCTGCTGGGGGTCTGGAGAGATGACTCAATGGTTAAGAGTACGTACTGCTCTTATAGAAGACCCAGGCTTGATACCCAGCACTCGCATCAGATGGATCACAAACACCCATAACTCCAGTTCTGGGATATCCATCGTCTTCTTCTGGGCTCCTCAGGCACCAGGCACCCACATGATGCAAATATATACATGCAGGCAAATAATCATCACACGAAATAAAAACAACCTTTTAAAAAGATGAAACACACCAGGCGTGGGGGTGTACACCTTTAATCCCAGCACTCAGGAAGCAGAGACTGTGAGTTCGAGACCAGACTGGTCTACATAGTGAGTAAGTTCCAAGACAGCCAGGGCTACATCATGAGGTCCTCTTTCAAATACGAAACAGAAAAGATGAAAGACCACTGAAAACGGGAAGTTGTCAAAGCTCCCAGCAACATAGGACAGGCGGGACATCCAGTTACACAGGAAGTAGAGTGGGTGGGACTTCGGGCTGTCATTGAGCTATCTGCTTGGGGGTGGAGTTTCTAAGTTGTGTGAGGAGTGGCTAACATTTGGAAGGAATACAAGCCATATACTTTAGGAGATCCATAGTCCCAAGCTGTGACTATTAGGATTCCAGGGAAAACTGGAACGTTCCAATCAGCAGTCACATGACACTTATGAAGTGACTACTATATGTCAACTACTTCACTAAGATCCTAAAAGGCATGTGTGCTGAACCCCTAACTCCTCTTAAGAAAAACAAATGGCGTGCTTCCCAGCAAACAGAAGGCCTCAGTTGAAGACAGGGACCAGCACGCTCCTGACGGTTTCTCTCCAACCGGCTCTATCTCCTCAGTTTGCATCTCTGGTAGGCGCAGGTGTGATGGTGCTCCTGATGGTGAAGATGGGGAGCTTCTTCCACAATATGCCCAATGTAAGTGGGATTGAGTGACTCAGGTAAATCAGGAAAGGTGGGATCTGGGGGCTGGAGAGACGGCTCCGTCGTCAAGGAGCCCGGGGTGGTTCCAGCACCTGCATGGCAGCTCACAACTTTCTATAACTCCAGTACCCAGGGATTCATTGCCCTCTTCTGGTTTCTTCAGGTACTTCATGCATGTGGCACACATACAGACGTGCAGGCAAACAGGCATTCACATAAAAATAAACACATCTGAAAAGAAAGAAAGAAAGAAGGAATCTTTGTCGAGCATCCATGCAGAGAGTTGCATTTTCCTGGTCTCCAGTCGTTTTTCTTCAGATAATAACATCTTGGAGCCAGGGAGATGACTCAGTGGGCAAGGGTGCTTGCTGTAAAAGCATGAGTACCTGAGTTCAGATACTCAGCACCCATGGAAAAGCCAGGTGTGGCTACATGTATGTAACCCCCATGCTAGGAGGAGGTAGGCAGAGGCAGGAGGATTGCTGGGGCTTGCTGACTAGCCAGCCTAGCTTAAAAAAAAAAAAAAAAAGGCCAGCTTCCAGTTCAGTGAGCAGCCTTATCTAAGGAGAATATGGGATATGGGGAAGAGTGACAGAGCAGGACGTTTGAGGCTCTCCTCTCTGTCTGTGCTTAGGCACACAAACACCCTCAAACTCACAGACCAACTCAGATAGCAATAATCATGGTAGTGTCTCCATCATAAGGTTGGACATTAAGCATGATTATGTGGAATCCATGTCTGTATGTAATCCATGCCTATGTTCGTGTAACACAAGATCATGTTAAACTTAGTGAGTGGCCAAGAAACACGATCACGATTGGTCTCATTAAGCTGTAAGTTCAGCTTCAGGTGTGGGGATTCAGTGAGGAACGACCAACCAGATTCAGATGCATGACTCCATTGCCAGTGAGACTCAGCCACTTGCGCTTTTGTCTGCCTTTTGTGTCTGAACTCTGCCCTCCACTGCTGTCTCATGGCCTCTTGGTTATCCACAGCATCGGAAGACTGGGGCCTGCAGACTGACTTCCAGCTCTGTGTTCAGCTGGGTGTGTCTGCTTCACTGGATCCCTTCCTCCCTTTGTTTGAGACATGACCTGACCGGTAACCATATCATGTGTTTATTACAGCTGTAACCGAGTGACTCTAAGCAATAATAGAGGTTCATGCCCAAATACACAGAACATACCAGAATGTTAGCTGTGGCTATCTATCTCTTCAGTGATAAAAATTACCCAGACCAGGCATGGTGACATACACTTGTAATTCTAGCACCCAATATACAGAGACGGGAGGATTGTCGGCCAGGCTGGTCATGTAGTGAGTTGAAGGGTAGCCAGAGCTACATAGAGAGAGAGACCTTGTCTCATGGAAACAAAAAAAGTTTTTTTTAAATGAAATTATGTAGGAATGTAATTAATTTTTAATCAAGTGAATGTTTTCCCTTAGTATTCAGGAAGGACATAGCTTTGCTGTACATAGCTTTATGATGAGATTTGTTTCCTGGAGATATTCCTTGCCTCAGGTTCAAAGGAAAATAATTCAGCCAGGCGGTGGTGGCACACACTTTTAGTCCCAGCACTGGGGGAGGCAGAGGCAGACTGATCTCTCTGAGTTTGAGGCCAGCCTGGTCTACAGAGCAAGTTTCAGGATGGCCAGGATTACACAGAGAAACCCTGTCTCAAAAAACAAAAACAAAAAACCCAAAAGAAAAAGAAGAAGAATTCTACCAACCCCTATGGAGTTAAGATGCTTTCCTTCCCCACAACTTCTGACATTATTTTTGGTTGGAGATTTGTTTTTGTTTTTGTTTTGGTTTGGTTTTGGTTTTGAAGACAAGATTTCTCTGTGTAACAGCCAGGACTGTCCTGGAACTGGCTTTGTAGACCAGACTGGCCTCAAACTCACAGAGATCTGCCAGGTGCTGGGATCAAAGGCGTGCACCACCACACCTGGCTCCCCTTTCTGACATTGTTAAAAGCTTGGCTACAGGGTCTCTGTAGAGATGGCTCAGCAGTTAAGAGCACTTGACTCCTCTTCCAGAGATCTGAATTCAATTCCCAGCAACCACATGGTGGCTCACAACCCTCGGTTATGGGATCAGATTCCTTCTTCTGGCGATCACGAAGACAGTGTGCTCATATGCATAAAATACAAGAATAAATAATCTTTAAAATTAGGTAAAATCAATATCAATTTATTTTTAAAAAAAGTGCCAGATGGTGGCGCACACCTGTAATCCCAGCACTTGGGAGGCAGAGGCAGGCGGGTCTCAGTGAGTTCGAGGCCAGCCTGGTCTCCAGAACAAGTTGGTTCCAGGACAGCCAGGGCTGTTACACAGAGAGACATAAAGCGGTGGGGGAGAAGCCACACCCGACTCTGCCCGTGCTGTGCCCTCTTCTGCCGACGCACTGTGCTGGGTCCTCATTGAGCTTTCTCAGAAAGCAAGCACAAACTTGGGCCCGGCCAGGTCTGACCTTGGCGTGACCTTGGCTGATGTGACACACTCTAGAGGAAAGTGGGGAAGAGCAAGGCAGTTAAAGCTGTTTCTCTTTCTCCCACAGGCCGTGCTGGCGGGGATCATCTTGAGCAATGTGATACCCTACCTTGAAACTATTTACAACTTACCCAGTCTGTGGAGGCAGGACCAATATGACTGTGTGAGTACAGATGCCCCGGAGGTTGGGGGCATAGGGGATGGATGGAGTTGGGAGCCTGCAGAGGGAACAGAATCAGCTGGGGCTGAGCTGCAGGCAGCATCCCCAAGCATCTCCAAAGGGGCATTCGAGGGTAATGTCAGTCAGTCTTGCCACTAGAGACCCTGGAACCCACCTGAGAAAGCTGGGCTTTGTGGCACACACTTAGAACCCCAGGACTAGAAAGGCAGAGGCTGGGGCATCCCTGGAACTTGCTGGCCAACAACCTAGCCTACAAGGAGCTCTAGGCCAATGTGAGACCCAGTCTGAAAAACATAGAGTGTAACAGTTCCTCTGGCCTCCACATGCAGGCACACACATGTACAGTCATCTATGCACACACATATGACTACCACAACAACATGAGCACTCACATACATACATAAAATAAATAAAATTTTAAAAATAAATAAATATGTATAATTGCATATTTAAAATAAATATGTTTAATTAAAGACAATTAACTATCATTCCATGAGTTCTGAGTGGCTTTCCAAGTGTGATTTCTCATGTCAACCTGTCCTACCATCCACAAGGTAGATAATATTGTCTCCATTTTGTACACAGGGAAAATGACATTTTGGGAAAGTAATAGAGAGAGAGAGATGATCAGGAATCTATCAGAGAATGTCTAGACAGCCTCTAGGGCCAGGTCCATTCTGCTCATTTTCACGGTCTCCTTCCCCTCCATCCTTTTCCCACAAGGTCGTTTGGATGGTGACATTTTCCTGTGCTATTTTCCTGGGACTAGACGTGGGACTGCTTATTTCATTAGTCTTTGCATTCTTTGTCATCACTGTCCGCTCGCACAGGTACTCAGGCTCTGGTAAGTGGAGGGCAGCCTGGCGAGACAAGGGCACAGGGGACCTAAGACAGGTGCCTTTCCTTCTAGATCCAAGATCCTTGTCTTGGGTCAGATCCCCAACACCAACATTTACAGGAGCATCAATGACTACCGGGAGGTAAGAAGCCAGCCCAGGGATGGGGTAGATGGCTCAGTGGGTAAAGCCAGTGCCACCCACGTGTGAGGAGTTCACCTCCCCAGAGCTCACTGGCATCTGAGTGCTTGGGAGGCCAGAGAGGACATCCTGGTACCAGCTGGATATCTAGACTAAATGAGTCCTAGAGCTCTGGGTTCCAGTGAGAGACCCTGCCTCAGCAAACAGTGGAGGGCAGTTGAGGAAGACACTTGACCTTAACCTCTGGCCTCCACACATGCACCTCATACACCTCAGAGCACGTGCACGCCTGTGTGCCCACACATACAGAAGGGGAAGCAGATGTGGAGAAGAGGCAGCTTGGCCCCAGCCCTTCGCCAAGGCACTACAGCCCTCCCACAGGCACAGGCGATGCGGGGCATGAGGCTCCAGGGGACAGGTGTCCTTACACCCCTACAGCCAGCAGACGGCCCTCTCACGGTGGATTGGGGGAAGAAGGCTAGAGAGAGTGGGAAATGGAAGAGGACAACAAAGCAGGGTGACAGGTGTGGAGGTGTCTGCTGGCCTTTGACCTCAGTGCTCTGGAGGCAGAGGCAAGCAGAGACCCAGCTCTAGTTCCAGGCTAGCCGGAGGTACACAGTGAGACCCTGGCGGGGTGGGGAGCAAGCTGGGGGTGAAGTGGGAAGGGGCTTTTCTAGCCCTCAACCCACCGAGGCCAGAAGCTCTTGCAGAGCCATACAGCCATGTGGTTCGTACTCCCTGCCGAGCAGAGGCCCTGGCCCTCCCTGGCCGCCTGCTCCCTCCCCGCCCGTGTCTTGCAGGCGGTGCTCATCCCTGGGGTGAAGATCCTACAGTGCTGCAGCTCCCTCACCTTTGTCAACGTGTACAAGCTGAAGCACAAGCTGCTGAAAGAGGTGAGGCCACCGCCCGCCCCCTGGCCCGCCTCCCCCCAGCCTGGGGCCTCCCTTTCCTGCACCCTTCCACACAGGCCGCCTCTGTGTGACCCTCCTCTGTCTCCCAGGTCAATATGGTGAAGAGGCCTCTTAAAGAAGAAGAAATATTCACCCTGTTTAATGAAAGTCAGACCAGTATATCGGAACACGGTATTTGCCGGTGTTTCTGCGACTGTGAAGAGCTGGAGCCAGAGCCCAGGGTGAGTCACGCCTGTCCTTCCTGCTCCTCCACCCTTTTCCCTTACCAGCGAACAGTCGGCTCCATACACATGAATGCACATGCCGAGCTGGCACTCAGGGGACTCTGGACATGGAGCGAGGGCCGTGGGAAGTCAGGGGTGATGGCAGGACAGAAGAGGAACTGCAGTGGCAAGAACCTGGGGTGGGTTTGATCCAAACAGCAGATTTCGTGAGTGTGTGTGTGTGTGTGTGTGTGTGTGTGTGTGTGTGTGTGTGTGTATCTCCTTCCTTCCTTTTTTCCTTCCTTCCTTCCTTCCTTCCTTCCTTCCTTCCTTCCTTCCTTCCTTCCTTCCTTCTTTCTTTCCTTCCTTCCTTCCCCTTTTCCTTTTCCTTTTTTGTTTTTCAGTACAGAGTTTCTCTCTGTAGCCCTGGCTGTCCCTGAACTCCCTCCATAGACCAGGCTGGC